CACTTAGACAGGGATTGAAAATGTACAAACAAATATTGGTGTAACATTTCAGATGGGGCGTGATGGTCATCAAGATAACTCTTGCAGCCACAATCAAATCATAATTCCTCTACACTCCACCTGAAAATCAATCCAATCAGTACCAAATATCAAACAGATTCTTGTATAACAGCTATACTGCTGTTCCAACCACCTCCTTAGGCCTACTTAGTACCCTATTTGGATGACATCGTGATCAACAATCAACAGCACGTGAAAGTCACGCTAATGTTCAAGTGACTGTGAATTACTATCGCACTGTTGTGCCTTAGTAGCCAACGCCCACTAAGCTGCATATATCGGTGTTACGGAGCTTTATTTCCGGACGTTGCTAGGGCAAGACTGGTAATTGGAACACTTCTAACTTAGAAACAATAATAACATCTAAACTAATGTATTGATCTTAATTGATACGGGAATTTTCCGAGCTCAGCCTGTTTAGCATAGGAAAATTTCTCGACATTTTTGCTTTGCATTACTCATTTCGAATAAACACATGTAGGCCTATGCTGCGCGGCGTGTGAGGTGAGGTGACAGTGAAGTAATGGTGAAGTGACAATTGTCACCTCGGATGAGGTGAGTCTCCGTGTAAATCAAATGGAGAGTCACCTCACCCAAGGTGACAATTGTCACTTCACTAGTCTCAGCGACACACGCGGCACAGAATATACCTAACCTTTTTTTTTTCGAAATTAGAACATTTCCAGGCCAAATAGCAAAAAAAATTAATGTTCCAATTTTAATAATTGTTTGTTATGGTCAATGATTCACATGTGAGCTCAAATTCGGCAATTTTTAATCACTCAAAAAAAAAAACATCAAAATGGCGTAATCGATATATTTCAACAAATTATAACCCGAAAACGTCACATCCAATTTAAAAACATATATTTAAGAAAAAAATATTCATTTTCATAAATAATATACTTGCTGAAACATTTCCAGTTACTATCAGAAGAAAACAAGTGTTTAGAACATAAATAACAATAGAAGACCCTCTTCAATTCAATAGAAAAATTACAAAAAATGCTGGTCTTCAGTGAAAATTTCAAGATGGACACTTAAAAATTAAAAAAAATCATAGAACAACAACTTTTGGTCAATTTTTTGTAACTTTTCTCTCGTTTATGAAAGCTGTCATTGCATCGCCCAGCAGTCTAAGCAGCACCCTTCTATGGACTTTTTCTCGACGTAACGCACACATATTAAGTATATGTTTGGTTACATTTATCTTCTTATTCATTTCTTTATTTAATGTCGGTCTCTGTTCCGCAATCTAGTGTCAATCACCGACGGATATCGACGGACAGCTTTCACACCTGCGTAGCATATTGCACCCATTCAAACACACATGGGCCGGGACCAACGGCTTTACTTCCCTTCCAAAGGGAGACGTGACCAGACATTTTTATGCCTCAGAAATGCCTGGGATTGAACCCAGACCCATGGGGTGATAAAGCAGTCACGCTCACCACTACACCACTGGCGCTGGCTTTTTCATTTATCTACTACCTGCGCCATTGCTACAAATTCTCAAAATCAAAAGCTTGATGTCATTCAAAAGAGTCTAACCTCCACATAAACCGTCAACATTCCGGCGAAAAAATTGAGACAACCCGACACCAATTAGACTTCTAACAGCAATAGAATGATACTTCATCAATTCAATCTCAATTTTTGAAGACTAAAAGTTTGGATTTCGCCAAGAGCATTCAACTCCTAAGAGCAGGGTTGCTTCCACTCACTTTCTATAAAACATTTTTTTTTTCGGAATTATGAAATCACTAGATGTTATAATGATAATAAATTGTAAAGTGTGTGTTTGACACATAAACACTTTCAATATTGCTTTCAAATCGTCACAATGAGCGATTTTATGATTCGTGAGCATTCACTCTGAGTCAAGGCTCGCGAATCATAGAGTCGCTGATTTTGGCACTTTAAACGTGAAATTGACAGGTGTTATGAGTCGAACACATATTTTACATCTTCTTCTTGTAACTTATAAGTACTAATTATCAATATAGCATCTAATGATTTCATAATCAAGAAAAATATGTTTTTTATAGCAGGTGAGTGGAAGCAACCCTGCCTAAGAGTTACCAATTTAATTCGTACAAACAAATCTGAAGGCCTGGAGTTGCTCTTCTAGACATAGAAAAAACATTCGACAGTGTTTGGCATGAAGGTTTTGTTTTCCTTGATTTTTTTTCCGTGCTGAGCACCAATGCTACTGACTCCAGGGAGGCAGCTCTCACATCTGGACCCTACCTATCGACCCATCAAATCTTGAACCGGGAACCAACGGTTTTACTTCCATTCCGAAGAAAGGCGTGACAAGAGATGTTATGCCTCAGAACATCCCGGCCTGTTGGGGTGAGAGGTAATCACGCTTACCACTACACCACCGGCGCTGCTGTGGCATGAAGGTTTTATTATTAAATTGAAAAAGTTTAATATTGCACGCTATATTATGAAATTAGTTCAAAATTATTTAACTGACAGAACTCCTCAGGTAAATTATTAAAAATCTACAGAAGTTCCTCAGGGTAGCATTCTTGGGCCTTTATTGTATTACATTTTCACTTTTACATTACACTTCAGACCTCCCTGATTTGCCTCAGGGTTGCCACTAATCTTTGTTCGCCAACATGAGTTAGTTAGGCATTTTCGCTAAAGAAATAAGTCTTCATGTTATTTGAAGCAGACTGCAGAAATGTTTAGACATTTTCTCTTCTTATTTACAGAAATGAAAGATTTCTCGCAACATCGCCCCTTAAGCTCAACTTATAATATTTCCACATAAGCCCAAAGCTTCCTTTTTGAAACCTACTAGAAATCACATAGTCACTATGAACGGAGTTCCAATTTTTTGGTGAAGTCTAGTGAAATATCTTGGACTAGTACTTGACCAAAAATAAACTTTTAAAGATCACGTAAGGGTTATCCAAGCCAAATGCACTTGAAATACGGTGGTAACCAAGATTCTTCCAGGATTCTATTTGGATCCATCATTGAGGACACTACAATTGACAAGTTTTACTTCAATTATTACAGGATGGATACATCAATGCAGCCCAACCGTGACCGGAAAATAGTCCGAGGATAACATCGCTTGGAACATACCATTACTAATGTTTCTATCCGATTATTCCAAAATGTTCAACTTAAACACCTTATATTCAACAGGAGATTTGTTTGCCACATTTTATCCATTGTATCCGGGGGAATGTGAAATTGTCTGATTTTGCATTGCAAATGCTATGTTAAATTAGACGACATATACGTTTTATCCGAAGCCCGTGGGCACAACGTATTTTCGTTAAAGGTCAGGTAACACAGTAATGTGTGCAGGTTGGAACCAATTTCAAAACTAAACGATTACAAATTCATAGTTTACTGCAGTATTTCAGGCTTGAAAAAATTAAACTCTCTACAATTTTTCAACATACGCGCTGCTTGCCCTGGTTTCGTCAGAGATCCTAGTCTCGTAATATCAGGAAATCGCGATTTGTTCCCAAAATACCGTCTGTGTTAATACATGTTAATGAACAAAATACATTAATTCGCATTCAAGTATTTATAATACACTTTGAGATTGACTTTGTAACCGTTCTGTGACCGATGGAGCCTCCCTTAGCTCAGTCGGTTAAGGCACAGCTATAAAGCAAGACCATGCTGAAGGCGACTGGGTTCGATCCCCACACCGATCTAGGAATTGTTTGGGTTGAAAAATGTCTCGACTTCTCTGGGCAATGGAGAACGATTGTACTTGCCACACAATTATACTAATGGAAAAATGATACAGGCTAAGAAAGCTCTCAATTATCAACTGTTGAAGTGCATCTATAACACTAAGTTGAGGGCTAGCGTAAAGTCTCAGTAGGGAAGTAATAAAGCCAAAGAAACATACAGTGTGACCATATATATATATTTGTCACGGTGTTGTAGAGCACGAATCTCGGACACTCTTGCGACATCACTGATGAAATTGGAACTCCCTTATTGCTGCACTGCATGCATTATATTTATTTAGATGCTTTTGCAGAAACCAATCACTGCTTTTGCCTGATCAAATTTTCAGAGTCAGTTGGAAATGTTATACTTATATTAACATGAAGCTTTAGTGTGATAATTTATTAGCTAGATAAAGTTCTGAAGAGGATATGTTTAAGTTCCGCTACGGCAGTGTGAAACTTGAACAGAAGTTGAAATTGAGCGAAGGGCCATTAATGCGACACTAGTACAAACGTATCGAACGGTAGAGGAGTGGCTAATAAATTATCACACTAAATGAAGCATAAAAGTTGATATTAGTATAACATTTAGAAACAACTCTGAAAATCTTCTGTTGGTTATCTGTGTAACTACAGCTGCTTGGACAATAACGGCGTAGCAGTGGGCGGTAAATCATGCTCATGCTCATGCACATGCTCTACGTCCCCAAAGTTGGTGCAAATATGATAATAGAAACAAACTTTTATCGATAGCTCTTTGAAATCATCACCGATTTTTGTAATATTTTGGGGGAAAGTCTGGCTCTGAAGGATTTTCCAAAACAGAGCTTATTTTTGAACGGGCTTCGAAAAACTAAAAACGATCTTTTGCTCCAGTCAAACTGTTACCCCAACTTACTCTTTGTGTTTTCGGCATAGTTTTATTTATCTAGCTTAAGAGATTGTTATTGAAGAACCCTCAATTTAGATAGAAAGCTACATCAAACTCGTTGAATATTCGGAGTGAACTATCACCAGTGAAGTGAAGTTTATAGAATCACATATCTGTAACATATGCATTTTCACCAGTTTTGAGCTGACATCGCCCTATCTATTAAATTCTGCTTCCATAATGTTGGGGCTGCTTAGGATAAATAAGTATTGGATTTGAATGGTCATACTAGATTTCAACATCATTCATATTAGGTCAAATATAAGTCCAACAAAATAGAATTTGGCTTCACACTAACTCAACACTAATCGCATCTCTAGTAGCTTGTCATTTCGGCTGGTCAGCTGATCTACGCGGGACTGAGAAATGATCATTCCGGTACCTGATTGGTACACACTATGAAGGTCATGACTAAGGCCAAGCGGAAGGATCCACCCACTTTGCCGCTGATTGGAGCCGATATCAAGCGAGTACTGAATTTTAAAGCTCTCGGATGAGATTCCAGTGATCCAGAATATATAATGGTGCTGGGCAGCTGATACCGGTCGACTTAAGTGGCTTTGGGGGCCCACTTCCATTTCAGTGAATCTGAACTTTGAGGACATTAGAAGGACGGGAACGGTGTTCTTGAACTCACTGATACCAAAATCTCTGCTGAAAGAAGTTCGGTCAGTCACTCAGAGTAATAATTGGTAAATTTAAACTGACCTAAGTTTAGTCACCATGTAGTAAACTATATTGCAGTGCCTTTTCCCAGTTATGTTCAGCTTAGGATCGACTAGGATGTGATGTGGCTGACCGGGAACGATTCCTTCCATCAGTTTTCCGCTGTGTTCCACCTTCAAATGTGACGAAAAAAAAGCAGCGCATACAAAATCACCACAGGTGGAAATTGGACACTGAAACGGTGCCCGATCTATTTTTAGCTCTTTAGCTGACTTCATCGATAGAGTACCATCATAATCCAGTGGTTCATCATTCCTTTTTTCACCCTGGGTTGGCCTTGCATCCGTTCTATTCTTGGGCTCTTTACACTTCTCAACGGAGAAATCTCCACAAAGGTTCTTCTTTTGAATGACAATTTCTTGTTCAACGGGGGTAAAGAGAAGATTTACGATCTCGTGCTGGCGTTGCGCATCAAGCCGCCTGTATCCTTCCGTTGGATACCTACCCTTCGATAGGGAAGAATGTATGCCTTCAACGAGATTTTCCCTCAAGCATGCGTTAACAACGTAATTTTTACCACCTATGCAAACGGTAACCAGTTCCCTGCTGGCGTCAGCATTAGAATGTTCCACCATTTTCGATGGTCTGTTAGCTGGAGGTAGATCATTGCTTAGCTGATCATTTTCATTAATCATGCATTTCCGACCACAACTTGAAGATTGTCGTTTTCGAGTTGCCGCTTTTTCTGTAATCACTCCCCTATGTGAGATACAATAACCTAAAGATATCATTGCTACATACTTTGCATCCAATCTTCCTCCAGTTCCGAAAACGATGAGCTGCTATCAGAATGTTGCATCCCCGAAACAGCTTGTCCTGAACTTGACTCAATCTTTCCTGAACCAACAAGTATCGCAAATTTCAAACAAACAAACTACCGTGGAGCAAATTGGAAAATTTTGTGTCGTGGCAAATCAAATTAAATATCTGATACAAAACGGAAGATGACAGTTTCATGTCACGTCCGCTGAAAATCACGGCTAAGTGGATCGCTTTGCTCGATGCCGGTGACTTCTGGAAAAAAAAAGAAAATGTTAGGCCATTCGCAATGCTGTTGTATTTTATAAGGACTGTTTCAATTTGAAACTACAACAGAAACGCACCTCTCGCAATACTGAGTTGCAATTTTATTATTCGAGCACTATTTTGCAACTGCTCGACTATTCTGTTTTATTTCTGAGCGAGTTTGAAACACGAATGGAACTCTGTTTCAAATTCTTTGGATGTATTTAAAGATGTTTCGAAGAGCTTCACAAAAAAACGGAGAACTTCATAGAGAACAGTAAAGTTTATGGAACTTGATGATTACAAACATCTTTTAGAACTGTGCGTTGCGCTGATCGTGTTGCAGTTTTATTTTTGACAGTTTCAAATTATAGAATTGTCGAGTAGTTTAAAACAATTTTGAAACTCAGCATTGCGAACGGCCTTACGCTATTTTTGGGGATTTTTTCTCCCAATGCACTATGGAAAGGTCCCATACAAATAGGTGGCCAAAAATATTTTGGTCTATAAAACTATTTTTTGCTACCCTGCTGCGATAGCATTTTATAACTCATAACTCTTCAGTGAAGTTTATTTGGTAGAGCAAAGTATGCCTTAATTAGAGAAGGTCTAGTATACCCTCTCTACACACTTACACTATAGTCTTAATCAGTATTTTTTGAGTTATCCAGATCTGGAGATATAAATGTGTATATAAAGCACATTGAATAGTATACTGCCCGTACTTTGTCAATGAATGTGAAGAAACACTTTTTTTGTAAAATATAGGGCCAATTCAAATATAACGTAACGCCAGAGAAGATACGCCCACAATTAACCCCTGAAATAACGGTACAAATGTATTAGACAATTTATTCTTGAACCAATTTGAAACGTCTAAATTGGCCCATATTTATGTACCAAGGAAACAACTGAAAAGTATTGAATTTTGAGCGAAAAGCCAATCGATCATTTCTTCACAAATCTCTCTAAAACTGATCTCACAACCATGTCCCGTTTACCAGTGCTTGTAGTACACAATCTTCTCGTCTTTCAACATTACAATTGTATCGAAAAAAAAAACAAACTCAAAAAATACATTGGCTACGAGAGAGTCTCCATGCGATTTGTTTTACTCATCAATCTAAGATCCATCGCAGCAGTTTGAAGGTGACAGTGATTTCTCTTCGCCTTGAAATTTTATTGAACTGGAAAGCATTTTGAAATCTCGTTTTGTATCAGAATTACGATAACTTGTGAAATCAATTCATAAAAAAAATAAACGACTGGCAAGCTGATTACAGTGCGGAACCTAAAGTTATCAGTTTTGCAGGATGATGGGATCTTATTACATTCGAAGAATATTCAGCTGAGAAGTATTCATCAGCCAATCGTTTATCGTTTCACGAAAAATTCCTCCGTCGTTGGTGCCCAGTTGCATTGAATGTGACTCCCTAGATTTGTCATGGGTTGAGGACATGTAACAGGGCACCGATGGCAGAGGTAGAGTGAGAGAGAAGGAGGCAAATTATTCATTTGCCGTGACAAGGTGATTAATTTTAATTAATAGCAATCCATGCTACCTCACAATCACAGCCTGGCAACCACGTGCTGCGCCTCCACAGCTGCTATTGGGCCTTTCATCCAGTAGACTTTATGTGGTACTTTGATGCCAAAACCCGATTCGGCCGGTAACACGGTACCCACCACTCTCCGAATGTTGCTGCACACCGCCAGCCGGCCCAAGTCGGTATGTACTTCGAGTGCCACAAGATCGAGAGCTGTAGTACCGGCCCAAAGAAACGGTGCCACAGTGGGAAAGAATGCGGCATTTTTGTTGAACAAAAATCGTTCCGAGCTTGTCATGCATTCTGCAAGTTTCGGCAATGCTGCTCTGATGAATGCAAAATACCTTTTGATGTCAATCATACACGCAATAAAGTGATTCACGGATATTCACGTAATTTTGATTTTGCAGATTAATCCACCTATCGGTGACAAGCAGTCCTGATCAAATTTACCTTATCCAAACGAGTTTAGCAAATACTCTTGCCTTCATCTGGATTGAGCAGTGGCAGAAATAATAAAGAAACCATCCAAAACTCAGCAAGTGAGACCAAAAGTGAACTCAATCTTGAGTATGATTAGACGAGGGGTCCGGATGATTTTTATTTTGTTCGAGGTATTGGAGTTGACGACAGTCTATATTTGATCCAGTAGAGTATGACAGTCCAAAATGCAAATTAGTAACGGCCTACTTGCTATTCTACCCTATTAACTTTATTGTAATCAACAAAATACAAAGTTCCCTTAATTTCTGCACCATATTATTTTCATACTGAAACTTACAGGCTACAGAAAGCTAGAGCAAAAGGGAAAAAAGCAAGTACGAGAACAGACCTACTTTCTTTACTCCAACCGTGTGTGTTTTTTTTTTTCTTTCTTAAAGAAACTTTCAGCCATTGTCAAACCATGTTTCTCATTAACGTGTGAGTGAAAAAGGCAAAATATCTTTTCTCTACTTTCTCACGTTAAACCGCAAACAAAAACGAATTTTGAAGAAAGAACATGCTGCGGCTATCAATGTGACAAATGGACACTCGTAGAGCCTAGCGGGATTTGCGGTAGTATGTGGTAGTATGAATTCCCATCATCTGGATGCAATTATTACCCAAGTAACCATAGACGCGTTATTTCGCCTTTTTGGCTATATACAGCTGAACAACGGTTATACCAGTGTTTGCAAGTTCTGATGAGGCCCGTATATGGCCAAAAAGGTGAATTAACGTTACGTTATTATGGTTACTGTCGTGACAATGTCGTGACCTGAACGAGGTTTCCAGCCTCGGTCGATTGCCTCAACAAGAACGCAATGTAAACACGACCGTTCGCTCAAAGAATGTTCAAATAACTAACTCGAGACTGTCAAGCATCCCAGGCTCAAGCTTCGCTTGGTTTGTATGTGCATGCATGTGAGTATGTTTTTTTAACAAATTTATTGCAACACGCTAAGCATAAACTTACTCATATTTAAACAAGAACTACCCACACTTATTATTATTATTTCTTGCTCAACTCTATCTACCACAGTTACTTGGGTAGTTATACATACCATTAAACTATTACATCCAGAGCTGTGGAGTTGGAGTCTTGGAGTCGGAGTCAGAGTCAAAGTCAGAGTCGGAGTCAGAGTCAGAGTCGGAATCTGACGTAGCATAAGGAGTCGGAGTCGAATCGACCGACTTCGACTCCGACACCGACTATTATGAAACATTATTTGAAACTAGAACGTCCCAAAAGCTGATTGAAGTTGAATGTCTATCATGAAAATTTACTTTAACTGTCTAAACTTTGATTTACTTCTGAATTCAATCCAATAAACCTTGTATTCCGGTTTAAGGTTTCTGCTTTCGAAGCTTTTTATCATCGGAATGATGAAAGATTATAGCTTTTTTCCAATTGAACACGGTATACAGAGCACATAACATTGTTTATTAATTAATGTTTAGCAAGAAAGTGAGACTCTCGTAAAAAATAAATTAAAACCTTCAGGTTTGTAAACTAGTTTTCCTGAAATGTTTGAAAAATTGTTAATAAAACAATACACATTTTATTCTATCCAATGTAAGCTTTGGCACTATACCTTTAATCTTCAGGTGGGTTTGATCCTATACATTTATGTTAAAATTAGTTATGTGCACCGTTCCCACTTACCCCATGTTCCCACTTGCCCCACCTTAAGCATTTCCAGGCCAAATAGCAAAAAATAAAGTCATACTCGACTTTCTCCGATTTCCATGAAACTTTGAATAATTGTTTATTGTGGTCAATCAATAACATTTGTGTTGAAATTCGGCCATTTTGAATCTCGCATAAAACTTCAATTTTGGCGTATTCGATACTTTTCAACAGATAGTCACTTCCAACCGAAATGGCGTCTGAAACAAATTTGTAGCAAAAAATAATTCATTTTCTAGAAAAATATACACGGTAAAGAATTTCAAGTAATTTTGGGAAGAAAAATACAAAAAAATGTTTAAAATTTAAATAACCAAAAAAAATAGAGAGGGAATATTTAATTTGAATCTTTTTCATTAAAGAGCTTATCAAAACTGTTATCTTCAGTGATGATGAAGTTTTTGCTCAATTTTGGTTTTATGTTTGCACAGAAAACGATTTTGAAAGTTTAAAATAATACTTGTTTACTTTACTTTTTAGTTTACAAAAAAAATTATAAACAAAAAGTTCAAAAAAAATTACCAAAATTTGTTGTTTAACTTGAACATTTTCACTGAAGATATAATTTTACATAAGAATATTGATCAAAAATATTTAAATAATATTAAAGAGGGACGTTTTTTGGTATTTAAGATTTAATCACTTGTTGTTTTTTTTTCATCATTTATTAATTACATTTTTAATGTGTATATTTTTCATTAAAATGAAATAATTATTCCGACAACTTCATCTTAGATGTCATTTCGATTGGAAGGGATGTTTTCGAATTGTTGAGAAATATCGAATAGGCCATTTTGAAGTGTTTTGCGAGACTCAAAATGTCCGGATTTTAGTTCAGGTGTGAATGATTACCCATAACAAATAACTATGCAAAGTTTCATTCAAATCGGAGAAGGTCGTATCAGATTGATTCGTCATTTGACGTGAAACTGCTCTATACAGAGAATATAAGAAACTCACTTGATATATTTGCCATTTGATACCTTCACATCCAGAAAATATCAGTGTGATTTTTGTCCACCAAGAGTACCGTTTGGCCCCATTGTGCGGTGGGACAAAGGGGAACCCATGTAATTTATGCAACTGCATCAGGTGATATCTTTTTATTGCTTCTTCTATCTCTCATGACATTATGCCGTTTGTAAAGGCCTTAAGAAGAAATTTTCTTAATTCAATTCCAAACAACGACAGCAGCACTCTCTCGACTCGTGCTGTCGTTACCTGGCTTAGTAGAGTCTGTACCTTTATTTTATGTTCTCTCGATGAATCGTTGAAAGTGCAGCAGAACATTGCAACTGATAATGGAAACGTGCCTCTGCCGAGCCGGTCTCTTACCGGCGTGATCTGCAGAATCAATTTATGAATGGTTGAGCTCTATGCATACTTGCAGTACTGGGTTTCAGCTCGAGACTGAGCAGATAGAAGAGCCGCACCACAAACCACAAGAGCACTTGCTCCTAAGCTATCCTGCTGAGAAACAGAGAGAACCAGCTGCCGAACAGCGAATGGAAAGAGAGTGGTTCGAACCGAATATTCACCGTCCTAGCCGAGGCGCAATCGTATTACTATACAAACTATATAATGTGGTGATATACGAACGCTTAAATCAGTTTTCATTTTGCTCGTGCATTGAAAGCATCTTATCAAAAAGGCAAACCGTAGAACTTCTCTTCTCAAGTACTGTCTACGCTGTCGAAGGAAGGCAATTCATCATTTCTCAAGCATCAGCCGTTGGTCAATAGTCCATTCAAATCAACCCAATTAATTCTCGATGGTGTCAAGTTGAGAGACAGTGCTGAAAATATACAAGTGCAAGAATACGAAGCGTGTGACGAGCAAATCGCGTTTTACGTCAGCAATAATTCATCGGTTGCCTCGAACGATCCATTTAATGTCAGTCAGAGCGGAAAGTATATTATCAAAAGAAAAGTTTCCAATTATCATCAACCGGGTGTGTTTATATACAAACGGATTTTAATGAATCCTTGCAAACGCGTTCCTTAGAGTATAGCTTGCGTTGTCCTCAGAGGTCAAAAATTGATTCGCTAAGCAACTCAAGTAGCCGCAGAACTGAGTCCCAGTGTGCACTACTAGGAAGTGTGAAAGAGTTTAACATAACGTACGCTTGCGCTACAGTTGGCCATATGTTAAGCTACGCACAGAAAGTGAATTTACCAGAATTAATGCTGCTGAATGTGCTGATAAAACACCTCATAAACTCTAATATTACATAACGAACGTTAGAATTCGTATATAACTGATCTTTACTGAAAAGTGGAAGAATTGTTTACAAGCACGAAATCAGTGCAACTCCAATTGGATAGCGTATACAGATTTAAAATCCTGGCAAGAGGAGTATCAAAGATACTTGCTACTCGGTGAAAACAGTAACGCAAGTTTTTTTCCATCCCGGCTGGAAAATTTCAATTCGAATAGGTAAGTTACAAGGTATTACTGTTAGGTCTCATTTTTTAACATGGCTTGACATGACTAACATCATACGATGCCAAACGATTAACGCTATCGCTATACGTGGCAGTGCCTATTACTATCAATCAGCTATCCATCTTCCGGAACGGAACGCGACGCTCGTCACGTGAACCGAATTCCTTTCGCTCTTATCGCATCTTCTGCGCTTTATAGTGCGGAACCTCGAATGCGTACCAACAACGTTCTAAATATAATAAAAGTTGTCCAAATTTTCAAACCCAATGAAGATAAAGTTCATTCACGGGAGAGCACATGTTCACCAACACATAAGCGTACCTGCTGGTGTGGCGGCTAGACAATCTGAGAGGCAAAGAAATCCATGCACTATAGTGGAAAGAGACAGAGAGTGATACATAGTAAAGAGAGGCGGTGACTGATGCAATTCGAAAGGAAAATTTCATAGATTTATTCATTTCCAAGAAAACATTAAAAAAACTGACCGTTGAGATAACAAACTAAAAGATGTGCGTTTCTTTCTCCCTTCCTTCCAGGAATGATGAATCTCAAAATTCTGTATCTGCTGGCCTCGCTGGCCATGCTAGTGCCGCTGATCAACGGACGAGCGGTGGACCTTGAGCAGGATAACTCCCTCTCTGCATCGTCGTCATCTTCATCTGGACCACGAATGGCCCGACCTAATTTCGTAAAAATTACATCGCCCCCTCCAGCGCAAATCACCCAGGTGCGGGGTAGCACCATTGAGCTCGAGTGTGAGGTGATGGGTTCGCCAACTCCCTATGTACAATGGGTTCACGGCAGCGGTCAAACGGCAGATGTAAGTCATCAAATCCTAACTATCAATCATGACAAAAACTTAATTGACTTTTCTTTCGTTCCTCTCCTTCTACAGTGGGACGATGCAACCATGAACATCATTAGCGAAAGCAGCCCTACGACAATGGCTCGTGTAGTATCGCGATTAGTATTGGACCATTCGTCACATGCTGCTGAAAGCACATACACTTGCATCGGCCGATCAGGAGGTCAAATCGCCGTTGTATCGACTACCGTCTATCACGTTGAAGCACCCCGCTCCAACTTCACGGACATGATCAAACCTGGTCACCATCTGTTCATGCATCTGAAGTCAGCACGTATTACGCTCCACTATAAGGCGTTATTCGAGTACATGGGTTCAACAGTGGTACTCCCGTGCAAAGCAGTTGGTCGCCCGCTACCCGAAATCACATGGAAAAATGAAGAAGGCAATGCCGTTGGAAGCATGCAAGATCCTCGCTTCCGTACGCTTCCCACCGGAGAGCTCATCATTAACGATCTCCGATGGGCCGACATGGGATCATATACATGTGTCGCTAAAAATGCAATTTCCAAAGATGAAGCGGAAACCTTCCTCTATCCCATTCGACCCAACTAACGTACACCGTTCAACATGACAAGTTGGAAACTCTCTTGGACTATGAATAATACAACCGAAATCACTATTAAAACATAAAGTTACTATTTTCAACAGTCAGTAGAGAACACTTATGCCATTTACCATTTACTTAACTTATTATTAAACATATAGGACGCAAACGATATCAATTAATTTATTTAAACAACTTTAAAAAAGTATTTCAATTACTCTTGAATACTAGCATATAAGTTTATATTTTATATAAAAACGGCCAAATGGTACGAGCACAAGCGTGAAATCTTGTCATTACACTGTTAACTGTAAATAGAACCGCTAGGAATGGACGGAACCCGTTTATGAAATGATCTTAATACAGCAAATTGGTGCATGAGGAAAAAAATCTCTACGTACAATAAAACCTTTCGAAAGAAAACAGCTCCACTGCATTTGATTTCCCACAATTGAATAACTCAGAAATTGAAGAAACCCTTGTGTCGTGACCGGACCGAAGTTTCCAGCCTCGGTCACGGCTACACGAATCTCGGCTGCTATGCTTCCACTGCTGCTGCTCGTCCGTCATCTTCAACGTTCGTCACAAGAATGTCTTCTGTGAGCTTATGTGCCCATATTTATACCCAAAGAATGTTCCCTCTTTTACACAGCTCACAAAGCAATGATAGTTAAATTTGATTCATGCGGCGCCGGTAGTGTACTGGTAAGCGTGATTACCTCTCACCCCAGCAGGTCTGGGTTCAATCCCAGTCGGCACCGCCGGGTGTTCTGAGACATAACATCTCTGATCACGCCTTCCTTCGGAAAGTAACGTTGGTCCCCGGTTCATGAGTTGATGGGTCGTTAGGTAGGGTCCAGGTGTGGGAGCTGGACATTAGTGCTCAGCACGGGAAACAAGATCGACGGAAAACAAATCAAGAAATATATATATATATATATATATATATATATATATATATGTACAGATCTGTATAAAAATATTGGGAAAAATCTGTATGATAACCGATAAATCTGTATATGTGGCATCACTGCTTGCGGACAGCCTTTTGTTGTGTACTGGAGAACAATGGTCAACGTCACGCGGAAAGCACTGCTGCTGCTGATGATGATGATGATGATTACGACCGACCAAACACCACCACACACGGTGATTGAATAAGCACCGTTCGACGAGACCGGATGGAATTCAATTTTGAAATCTGTGTTAGGGAAAGCGCTTTTTGCAAGCAATCGGTGATAATTTTGATCACCATTGCAACATTGCCCCGACTGGGATTGAACCCAGGCCTTTTGGGGTGAGTGGCAATCACACTTACCACTACACCACCGGCGCCGATAAATCTGTACATACAGATCACAGTTTTTTTTTAAATATACCGATTTTACAGATAAGCGGAATATGTTTTTTAACTCTGGATTATATTTATTCATTCCGATAAACAATCGTTTCTTCCTTTTAAGCAGCTACAAGCACCTAATCCAAATAGCAGTTTTTCACTAAATAATATATGATTTTATTATCTTTGCTAATTTTGAACAGACTTCTGATGTTCAGATATTCTGATTTCTGATTGCTCGTTAGAGGGAAGGTTAGTTGTTCTTTCTTATTGTTTAATTAACCGTATCATATAGTGACGCGTACTATGGTTAATTCATTTTTTGGATTTGTCGAATTGGTAAACAAAACGTTTTAATGACTCACCTCAGAGCCAACTGGATATTTTGACATTTGAATAGCATAATATCGCAAATAAAGAATAATGTATGCAATTCGACTAAACGTCCAAATAAAAGTTTTGTGTTGTGACAAAATACAATAAAGCTGCTAAAACATATGAACACATAAAGCTCGATTCAAAGTAAATCTGGACGCCCGGTTTAATACACCACCGCGCTCCTGGTGGTTGGAACAAAAAACGTTTGACAGGCATTTGTTGATGTTTCATTGATGAAGAAATTGGTGAAAAGTTTTTCGCGATTGATCGACGCATCCCGAAATTACGGATCATGGAACTTGAGAAAAGAAAATTAATTGTGCACAAACATCTAGAGAACCCTTCGTGGTCTGCCTCAAAAATAGCAAAAGTGTTAAAATTCCCAAAGTCGACGGTGAGTCTTGTAATCAAATGTTACAAGGATACTCTGAGTGTGGATAGAGCACAGCGCATCTATCATAAAAGTGGCACTAGGGACAAAGAGCTGAAAAGAAAGGTGTTGAGGTACGTGAAAAGCAATCCAGGTGTCTCCATACGTGATTTGGCAAAGAAATACGATCCCAACTTTTCCACCGTACGTAACATCCTTTCAAGAGAAGGATATAAGTCTTTTTGTGCCAATAAACATCCGAATCGCTCCCTGAAACAAAATTTAGTGGCCAAAAAGCGAGCACGATTACTATACGAACGAGTTTTAACGAAATTTGATGGCTGTATTTTAATGGATGACGAAACCTATTTCAAAATGGATTATAAACAAATCCCCGGTCGAAAATTTTCCCAGTCAACTGGTCGTGGGGATGTCCCTTCCAGGTATAAATTTGTTTTTGCTGATAAATTTACTAGGAAACTAATGATTTGGCAAGGAATCTGCAGTTGTGGCCTTAAAACCAAGGTTTTCATCACATCTCACACAATGACGTCGAAGGTTTACATTAAAGAGTGTCTGAAAAAGCGGATTTTACCCTTCATTCGGCAACACAAGACCAACGCTATGTTTTTGCCGGATCTAGCCAGCTGCCACTACTCTAAGGAGGTATTAGAATGGTTTGCTGCAAACAATGTTAATTTCGTCGCCAAAGAGATTGATATTCCGAATTGCCCTGAGTTCAGACCGATCGACAAATATTGGGCAATTGTCAAGCGAAAACTTCGAGGATGCGGTAAAGAAGTGACAAATGCACAACAATTGCGTTTAAAGTGGAATAAGTTCGCCGATACAGTGTCACCAGCGACTGTGCTGATCATGATGGCATCGATCACAAGTAAAGTGCGACAACAGTTCGTTCGAAACGGTGAAATGTAATAACTTGTTATATATCGTTTGAAAGCTGAATAAATACATTTTTGTTTGACGTTTTGATCAACCGTGTATGTTGTTTAATTCTTGAGTTATGATCACTTGAATGCGTCCAAATTTACTTTGAATCAAGCTTTATTGCACAGCGATAAATTCAGATGGAACCATCCCAAAATGTTTTTGTTGCTTTATTAAAAATACTTTTAGCCTTAGGATGGTTAGTCACTATCCCCAAAACGTTTTACAGGTACTGACATAAAATACTGAGTACACTTAAGTATGTAGGTTCGAGCAACAACAAGCGAATTCATTATCCTTTCAATCTGCCAAATGCTTAGATAAAGTTGAAATTTGGTTTGATTAGAAGAATTTGAGAAAATGAAACATCGAACATTTATTAGAAATTATTCATAAAATGTTAATGCTCGATTTTTCATTTTCTCAAATTGTTGAGTTGAAAAAAAATGACAAGACCAGAGTGACTGTTATTTCCTTAAAGAAATATTTAGGTTTGTCTCTTACTACTGGGACTTGATTTTTTGTATTTTTAGACTTGTAGAAAAGATACAAATCCCTAAATAATTTCAAGATTGTGGATTTCAGGATCATTCTTTAGAAAGGAAACTTTCATCATTTTCCAAGATGCAAAACTTTGAAGAAACTCTGTTTGAACTTTGAATGAACTCAGAACAGATTTACGAAGATTCGTACAAAAATCCGAATAAAGAAATAATAGGGGAAACGCTCCTATAGTTGCGGTACGTTAGAAGCGTTAGGTTCCTATAGTTGTGTATGGAGTCTCCATACACAACTATAGGAACCTAACGCTTCTAACGTACCGCAACTATAGGAGCGTTTACCCTACACAGATAAAAAAAGAATTGTTTACGGTGAAAATACAGACTGAAATTGAAAAAAAAAATGTGGCAACACTGGCCACAAGCAGCAAGCTGCAGCCCAAATGAAACCGAAAAAGGGGGAAGAAGCCGCACCACTACTGATCGGATTCAGTAGCTCTTCGTGATTCGCTGTGAGCCATTTTTTTTTTTCAAGCGCGTCAATCTCGTTCCAAACAACAAACATCTCGCCAGCCTCATCTGTGTTGAACACCCTAATAGCTCAGCATCACTTAACCATCACGACAAAACGGTTCTTTCCAGGATCACCATAAATGTATTGTTGTTTAAGAGTTAATTTTCATTGAACGCTCGCTTGCCTTGATGCCAGCCACATCACCCCCAAAGTACAAATGCGTAATACCCAAGTAACCACCAAGCCTGCTAACTACCCGATAATCACCCTTTTTGCGATATAAGGTAAATATAGGGTTTCCGAACTTTATATCAGTCGTATATCAGCCTTATATTGCAAAAAGGGCGATAAACGGGCTTGTTGGTTACTTGGGTAGTATTGAAGTGGTACATAAAAATTCTCGCAATGACCGAATACCACACGACCTTGTCAACACTTCGAATTGAGGTAAGGTTTTCTTTAGGACGCTAGAAAAAAGCAAAAAGAAAATCTTGGATTTATATGATTGATCGCGAATATCTCGTTGGAATTGAAAGATTTTAGCAAGAAATTCCTCCTTTGTCATCAGAAAACGTTTCCGTGATGGGAAAAAGTGGTTTCCCCAACACAGGCATCGAATATTGATACCGAGCACGTAAACCTACGTCAAATCTACGGTCGTGTCTTGGATACAACCTCTTACTTTTTTAATGGAATGTGAAGTGGTGTGCAAAATCTGCGTTTGATTATTATGATCGTTTTTTGGTAGATTTGAAAGTTTCCCGCTTGTTGCTGCACTCATTCGTCAATGTTTTAATACAGCAGCGATCCGTTCGATTCCCAAGTAACCACCAAGCCCGATAAACCCGTTCGTTTCTTGCACGAGTTTCGATTTTGGTTCGTGTCAAAATCGAACGGATTTGAAAATAATATGTTTTTGCTTCTTGTGATTGCAATTTATGATAAAAGAATAATTATTAACAACGCCTATGCCATAAAGATGACTCACGGCGGTCAAAAATCAAAGAAATCATAAATTAAATTTCAAAATAAAACCGTTCGAATTTGGCACGGTTTGGTTTGGCAATATTAAATTTTCGGCTTAATTGTGTTAGTGAAATGTGAAAATGATGTTATGTTTTCTCTTTTATTCGATTCCGTTACCACTGTCCAAATACCCATTAATGTCACGACATGAAATTAATTAAGCAAAACAAATTCTTGGAGCAGTTAAAATCGAGGCCAAAATAAACAAGCATCTTCATACACGGCGAATAAGAACGACCTAAATTTGAGTTTAGTTCCCTCATAATCACCAAAAGTGCAGAAATTCAGCGATAAGTAAATTTACTGCATGGTTTTCTGTGGAAAATCTCAACAATCTGCCGGAAAATGAG